GTATTATGACAAGATCACCCAGTAAAGATTTTTGAAAAAAAAATTAACACGAGTCAAGATAAATTTTGTGAAATGCATTAGATTGATAGTTGGTAAGGGAGACCGAGTTAGATTGTAGCAAGAACCGTGAATGGGAGGTGAACCTCTAAGAGACCAGCATTCTTAAATCTTTATCATTATACAACAGAAAAATATCTTGGTGACCGAAGCCTTCAATGACATTGGGGGATATGAAAGGGTGTGGTAAATTAATGTGGTGAAAAATCTTAATAATTGGAAGACCAATGAGCATGAGAAGTTTTTTGATACTCTAATTCAAACATTAATAGTAATATATTTTCAGTGAAATCTTACTATAAATTTTTGTCTGAAAAAGAGAATAATTGCATTAGGTTCCCGGTTATACAAATTTAAAAGGTGAAATTCTCTCGCAGAATGTCTCTTGTTGTTTAGGAGGCAAACATAGAGTGCATTTTTGCAATTGGCAAGTCACTATAATGAGGTAAAGTTCTAGTGAATGGTTGATTTTTATGTTAAAAGACTGTAAAGACATATTCTTTGGTCTACAAGGGGGGGTTAACAAACTTTGGACCATAGTTTATAGGTTATTAGGAGTCAAGCGGGTGATGATGGAATCAATTACAGCAGAGTTTTGGGCGTGAAAGGGAATTAATGGGAGGAGGAAATACATAGACATCATTCCAATCACAATCTTTTGGATAATTTGGAGGATAGAAATGTAAGAGCCTTTGAAGGAGCCGAGGAAGAAGCTATTATTTAAAGAATCGATGGTTATAAACCATTAGTTTTTTGTTATTGAGTCATGTTTTGTATTTTATAAAAGATTTATGAAATATGATTAAATTATTGATTGATATATAAATATCTTATATATAAGTTAACACATTCTTGGTATATTTGTTAATAATACTGTTTATTTTTTGTAAAAAATATTTTCATCAATATAGTTTAAAAAAAATCACTTTTCATCACTTTAAATAAGTTTTTTAATTTTTTAAATAATATATATATATATACACACACATATATGGATTATAACTTTCATTTCTTTAAAAAATATATGTAGGTATATGAGTTCCTAAAAACCCATTTGGTATAATTAGTACTTATGTAGTAAAGTTTTCAGAGCCACCAATATAATAATCTTGCAGTAAAAGATTAAACAACCAAACCCACTATCTCACTAACATTGTTATCACAATTGTTTTGGCCTGTGAAAAGTCAATGCTTTAATAAGAACAAACAGCAAACAGATCCCTTGAAGAAAAATAACAAATGAATCTACCAGTTTAGCACTAATATTTACATTTAGTAGAACAACTTAATTTTAGAGAACCAATTGCAAGACATGAACATTCTGACTACACTGTCAAGGGAACAACATTCACCGGAACAAGCAAAAGCTTGACCCGAAAACCAGGCTAAGAGAGCAGCTGCCACACACTTCACATCATGCAAATGGCGCAAAATATACAATCTACTACCAGGAAAGATTACCTTGCAAGATATTGCAATCCCACCAGCAACGCATAGCTTTAGCACGGCGGTTGGCATGCATTCTTTAACGATATTGGTCACTGATTCTGATCACAATTAGAGGTCAAATGTTAAAGAGTTCGAGAAATGTTATCAAACATGAAACCAAAGTTGCAAGGAATGAGCCAATACTATTGACCGATTTCCGGTAATAATTTTCTTAGAGCTTCAGTTGCAAGAGGGATGTACAAGCAATCTTGACCATCAGAATTCCTTCTAGTCTTGACCAACTCATGATCTTTGAATTCTGTCAAATGAGAATTCAGTGTAACCCGGCTGCTCACTAAGAAGCGTTCTCGAGAGATTTCATACAGACTATCAATCGGCATCCCTAAAACATTTAAAAGAATGAATAAATAAGACAAAGATTGTGAACGACAATATTAAATAATAATAATAATATTGTACTCACCATCTTCTTCAGAATGGGAAAGCTGATATTCTGCAAGAATTTTGAACACATTCTGAGCATTTGATGTTAAACTCTGTAAAACTATTGCAGCAGTTTTGGCACTTTGGACAGTGCTGCCTTGTGCCAAAATCAAAGGTAAGAAGATTCCTTCTATCTTGTATGGTGCAAAGGTTGGAACGTGATACCAGCACCAGTTAAACTGTGTGTGAACCATCTTCTTGTCCCACACTGTTAAGATGACAATTTTGGGTCAAAATACTGGAAAACTTTGCAGAATATTCTATCACTCATCAGGGCCACATATCGAATTCAGTTTCCAAAATTTGTTCATGTACATATAAAAAAATTGGTAAAAGATCAACTAGGGCGCAACTAAGTATAAGGTGATTCTGGACAAAGACAACAGAGCATGAGTTTAGGTTCAAAAAGTCGCAACTAGCCACCATTTAGCATCCATGAATAAAAAAACTAAAACCCTCTTGTCTAGAATTCCTCTAAGTTAAAGTGAATTAAGTTTGTAATTATAAAAATTGGCACCATTCAAAAATCTAAAAAGATCAAGACAACATAAACATACTGCACCGCAACATGGAAAAAGAAAAGAACGATGAAGATTATGCCAAAAGCACTACAGATTGTTCAGTACATAAACATTTTTTTTTTCACTTTCTAAATTCATACATGTTCATGCATATGTTACGCATAAAAGTATGTAAGCAATAGTATGTTAATGGAATAACCAAGTGCAAACAAAAACAGTTCAGTAGAAAAAATAAAAAACAATAACTTAAAATTTTCAAACTCTATTATTTTCGCTATCATTTCCTTCATTGTTGACTAATCTATATTTTCATGAATAAAATACATATAAATTTAGAAAATGAAAATTAAAAAGCCTTCTCATATAACAAACGATCCCTAAAATTCTATGATTTTCTTTTTCAGGTCAGCCTACGATAACATGATTACCTAAAGAAAAATACTCAGCTAATTTTCCGGGGATTAGTTGGATGTATTCACTTACAAAGAGGTGCATTAACATGGTCAATCGAGGCAATAATACAAATATGGGAGCAAGAGGCAAGGCGTGCAAGATATTGTTGTGTTTCAGAATCTCTTAAACCAGGCCCATCAATGTTATGGATAACAACACATACAAAACAATCTCCATCATCTGTCTGTGGCCCATTCAAAAATGTGAGAAGATCATCTACAGATCGAGAATCAAATGTCTGTTGAACTTTTGACATGCTCCCCAGAGAAGTCTTCCGTTTGGATTTTAATTGATCCCAAAGAACTTCAGCTATGGCTGTGAAAACCTACATTAACATATTAAGGATTTGTCAAAATCAAATTTTTCTATCTCAACTTTTCAGGATAGAAATGTATTTCAAACTACAAGCCGCTTGCTTCCACTACTAAAATAATCTCCATATGAAGGGAGAAAGGAATGGTTACTCATAACAGTGCTCCAGTTTACTTCGGTTTATAGGCAAAACCGATGCTGAGACTAATCATTTTTAGTCTTGGAACACGGTGATACAAGCAGGAAAAGTATTTGAATAGATGATACCTGTTTTATATTTATGGACTGAAGAAAGCCATTGATTACAACTACAGAATACTCGGCCAAAGCTGTTGAAGCAAAATCTTCAATTAAAGCCTTCTTAGATCCAAATCCATACATTAGGAGGCCAAAGCCACACCTGGAACCATAACATTATGAAAAAAAAATTCAAACTTAAAATCAAACGATGCAGTTATTAGCTTGGGCAGATGCAAAAGCCACCTTTATGAAGCTTGCGGCAAAATTAAAAATCTAATTTCTACAAATAGTGTCTCTTCGATACCAAAAAAATAACTAGATTAACAATGCAAGTTAATTAAAACAATAGAAACTAAAAGGGTATCATCGTTGATGTGAAGTAGACATGACTGAAACAGTAAAAGGATATCATCGTTGATGTGAAGTAGACATGACTGAAACAGTCCTTCATATACACAGTTTATTAAATTCATAAATTTTAGCAAACTATGTATAGAAAATTCAACACGTTGCCTAAATAAACTATGTATATGAAAGTTTATAAACTCATGCATCGGTTTTGTAGGCAAGGTAATGGCTTCCTTTTTTGCAAAGGGAAATTGAACACCTATTGTAAATGGGTATAGAACCCAAGATTCTCCCATGACCCACTATAAGTGGAGAGACACCTATTGAGTTAAAGCTCAGTTGTTAAGGTAATGGCTTTGATATACACATAAATTAATTCTAACCTTAGCTCAAAAAGCCACTTAGGATACAAACTCTTGTAATCATTCACCAGGGCTGCAATCTCCTTCTCATGCTTGGGTTCAATGTTAGATGCAGCAACTCTAAGTTCCTGCAATTCAAAGCAATAGGTTGTCCTGGTGTTCTTTAAAGAATTTCAAATAAGAATTGAAAATAAAATTGGATGCAAGCACCTGTTCATCAACAATATCAATATCAGAGAGCTTATGGGCTGATTTTTTGCATGAGCCACGCAATTCTTTGGCCAGAAAGTAATTTCTTGAGAATCCATACTCATTTTCATCTATATCATTGACGTCCATGGCAAAGATCTAACTGATTAAAAAAGATGGTCATAAACATATTGTTACAACCATGATGCGAGAAGACTCCACAAATATATTACAAGTAAAGAGAGGAATAAACCAATCAGACACAACGACAGAGACAAGAGAAAACACAGGGAGATTCATGTCTCATTAGATCATCTGCATAAGGTAAAAGCATCGGCAGTACTTCATTCATTTTCAAATGCGACTGGACATAGCCAATCCCAACATAATAACGAAATAAAAAGAAGAAAACAGGAAAACTACGTATACCTTCCTGAAGAACCGAGAATCGTCCCCTAATCTCAACTCTTCTCCACTGCGTTTTTAGTTCACAAATAGATCTTCCTAGTCTCTGAACCTCTCCCTTGCTCTCAAAATGCTCTCTTCCTAAGGTCCGAAAGTCCCCTGTATCTTCTCACACAACATTCTACAACTTAATCTTGAATCTCAACCTGTCCAAAATGCTCGGGTCTCTCTTTCTCTCTCTCTCTCGAGCTGGGGTGTACGTTCCCTGCAGCACTGTC